AGTAAAACATCAGAAGGCACAGTTCCTCAGAGTGCTTCTGATTATGCTATTTTTAATGAGAATGTCACTGTCACGCTAATGAGTTTAGAAGTTGGCCAGAATTCTGTTGCTGATTTTTTTTTCTATATGTCATTATATATGTACTTATTGGCTTCTTTTATAGACTTTGTTCCTCTTTCCATAATACTCTATGAATTAGTAAGAAATGCTAAGTTTTCTTTTGGTAGACTGCCCAACAACATTAGAAATATGACTCTTAATAACTCAGCACATGGACAAGATTGGTTTTTACATGGTATTCTTAGAACTAACATCCTTGCTATCTGTTATTGAATCATCAGGCACTACTGTCTGGTTTATCAAAGGAATTTTCCACAAGAAGAGACAAAAAAAACTATTTCTATCTAATTTATTTTATTTCCAATTATACACTGCATGCAACAATGGAAGAGACACAGGCTCAGGAGTGAGAGAGAAAAAGTTAAACAGATCACTGAACTTGGGGTTTGACAGTTTGGACACTCTCTGTTTAAGTAAGAGCAAAATTCCAGCTAACTTTCTTCTTTCTTTCTGTATCATACTTTGCAAATATTTAGAAAAGTTACTAAATTCTCAGCAAGTAAGAAAATACACTTACTACTGAAAACAAACATGCTCAAGCTCTCTAAGTGAAGATTATGCTCATAACTCTTTAAATGAAAAGACATTTTTGAATGTTGTAGATATCTGGAAACAAAAAGTCTCCCTAAACTCTGGAATTAAGTGAGGAGCTAAAAACCAGGAAGCAAAAACCATACCAAGGAGAAAGCAGTATAGAAAGCAGTATGTGGGATTCTAAAATTTTAGCTGCTAACTGGGTAAGTTTTAAGCAAACAAAACAAATTGTAAAAACAAAACCACCACCACACCAAAAAGCCTTATCCTGGTGCTGCTATTTTGGAGATCCTCTGTTAAGGAGGAGACATGCAATTATGAGTCTGGAATGGCGCCAACAAACTGAATAGTGAGACTCAAAGGGGAAAAATGTCTACATTGACCATTCCAGGATGTTGTAACTAAGCAACTTAAATTACATCCACAGTTTATAAAGCTTTAAGGGCTGCTCAAAAAATGAACTTGTCTGGTATAATACTGTATGTCTAAATAATAATTTATATCTCTATTTCTCATCCAAAGCTAGAATAATGCCTCAGGGCTATGTTTTTTCGTCTCTTCCTTCATTCATCAACTATTTATTAAGTGAGGTAATTTGTTAGGTATTAAATACAACATAAAGTTCAGTAAGTTGTTAGAGTACATTAGTACCTTTGTTTAATGTGCCCTGATAAATTATAAGGCCACATAAGAAAGATTCCTATTTGGCAAATAGGAAGGCTAGAAGGGCTGGGAGGTTTGCCCAAGGTCGCTCAGCAGGATTCAAACATAGGATGTCTGACTATCTATGCCTGTGTTCTTTCTTTCTTTCTCTCAATGAGCTTACAGTCTATTGAGGGATGTAATAACATAACAAAACAACTAATTAAGTGGCTAAAGAGACTGGAAACACTTTATTAGCTCATAAGATAGATTAAATTCATTTCAGAGAGGGAGAGGGTCGCGGAGCTGTGGGACTGGAAAACTACATTTTGGGTACAACATGCACTACTCGGGTGATGGATGCATTAAAATCTCAGAATTCACCACTGTAAAATTAATCCATCTATGTGGTCAAAAACTGCTTGTACCCCAAAAGTCATTGAAATAAAAAAAATAAAGAAATAAAGATAAAATTTAGTTCAGAGAACCACAGAAAATCTCACAGAAGGTCTCAAAGTTTGTAGACTTTGACAAATTGGTGTTTTGACTGATGGAGAATGGGGAGAGTAGACATTCTAGGAGACGGTCCTGAAAGATTTATGTTCATGGAAATGCACCATGTGCTCAGAGACTGCCAGAGGGGCCACTGAATTGAAGTTCAATTTTGAAGGAGGAAATAATGTACAGGAAGGCTGAAAAGGTAGATTTGGATCAGATCCTACAGTTCTTGAAGTTGAACTTCATTTTACATTCTTGAGAAGGATGAAAGGTAGTTTCTGAGTGGGGGAAGTAACCTGATCTCTCATTCCAGGGACATTGTACTAGCTGCCTAGGAATGCTGAGACAAGTATGGACTCTGCTTTCAAAAATTCATGTCAGAACCTATTATTATTGAACATATAGTAGGAGGAAAGTATTTAAATACATATTCTTTGGGTACATTGACTCATTTGAGTTCATCACCCATAATCTTGGAATGGTTTGAGTGAAGGTCATGGAGAGGGCAGTGATGCCAGGCTAAGTAGTTTGGGTTTTATTCTGAGGGAAAAGGAGGGCCACTGAAAGCATTTTAAGTGAATCAGAAACACACTGTAATTTGCATTGTAGCCTAATCACTCTGAGAGCAGTTTGGAGAATGAATTAGAGGCGGCAAGTCTGGAGGCTGGGAGATCAGAATGAATGTCATATCTTGGGTGGGCTGGGCTATAGGAAGAACTTTTCACTGAGATTGTGTAGGATGCATTAAATGAGAGGAGACTGTGAGGAGAAGACCAAATAGGAAAAAAGTTTAATCATCCAGATGAGAAGTCATGGAATCTGACCTAAGGGGCTTCAGTGACACGAAAGAGGTGGGATCAATAGGGGAGGAGATGGGGATATGCTCAAAGGTTGGCATCTCAGATGACGCTGGTGTCAATGAGAATAGAAAGCTCAGAAGGGTTGTAGGTGGCAATGTGTTTACTTGAGGAGAAGGGTTTTATTTTGGAAGATTGAGTGCTAGTATATTAACTGAATGTTTCCAAAGTGCAGCTGGCAATGTGGGCCTGGGATCTGAAAATTGCTATGGTTAGGGAAGTCTGTACTTATGGGTTATAGTTGGAAATATAAAAATAAATGTAACCCTAAAGTAAGTTATATAGGAAGAAATTAAGAGAAATCCTGGAGAATATCTGTTTATGAGGAGGGAGGAGACAGAGGACTAGGAAAGGACACAGAGAATTAGGCACAGAGATGCAAGGAAACTCTGGAGCATAATGGTTTCAAAAAGACAAAGGTATGTGCAGTTGGCAGTGTCAAATGCCACAAGAAAGTCAGAAGACACTTCTCCTGAAAACACCTGTTTGTGAAATCTCTCGGTCACAAACTCCCTATAAACCTGAAACTCTCAAATGCGCAGCACTTCATGGTTTTCCCCTCCTGAAGGAAGCCAATGGGATTATCAATTGTGACTGTTGTTTCAGAGAAGCCTTTCAATAAGACCTTCCTTTAATGAGATAGGTAACAAATGAGGGGCTGAAACATCTCTCCACATTAAAGAGATTATTGGTGTCTCTATGTATCTCATGATATGCATTTCATTGACACTGCTTGACTTGTATAAACTCTTGTGCTGTTAAAACCAAATATAATTAAATGCAGGATAAGTACAATGGAATCACATAATAATTTAGCTCAATTATTTACAAAAACAGATATTACATAGAAGAAACTGTGTCTTCTCATATATATAATGTGCAATAGAAGCCTGAAAAGGGCAGTGCTAAGTCTTGATCATCGACATCAGCATTAATAAAGTGTTCTACTCCATCGTATCATATGTACATATAAATATACACACACACACACATATACACACACACACACTCATGTATCCTTTTAAACAGGATGTCTTTATATAGAAAATTAAACAGGATGTCTTTATAAGAAAATCCAAAGAACAGCAAATGAAGTAAAGACTGATACACTTGTAGAAAGATGGCACATATACTGAATACAATTTATACCTTTTGAATAACTCAGGCACTTCACAAAAAAGATGTGGGTAAAACTGGAGGAAGAATACCCTTAGTTGGTAAGCACATTGGTAGACACATTCAGCTGAATTATTAACAGAAATTATAATAGTTATTCCAAGTAATCTTTAAGAAAAGAGGAATATATGGAACCTCTTTATGTGTGTTTATGTTCAGCTCTGTCTAAAATTAACAGAAACAACTTGGTCCTCTTGAATTTCTTTTTATTCTTCACCTTTTTTCCTTCTATGGTAAAGAAGTTGGAGTTATTTTAAGGGTCCATTTTGTTAGAATTCCTAAAGAAGTTTCATTCATTCACTTTTAAATTTATTCACTTACTCATATGCATACATACATATGTGTGTGTGTGTGTGTGTGCAATTTCCAAAGGCTTTCAGGCAACTTAAAGGAGGCACATCAACAAAAGAGAAAATTTCATTAAGAAATTAGAAAAAATTATGTCCTACAAAACATAAATTAGAATAGAATCCAAAATAAGGGTGTATTTTACAATTATAACAACAACTATCAAAAAGACAATTCTTGATGAATACAGCAATTAGAAGCAAGGCGTTGAAATCTAATCTGGGAGATGGAATATTGGTTCCTCTACTTACTATTAATATATATGTAAACTTTGGTAGGTCGCTTGACCTGTATAAACTTCAGTTTTCTTAACTGTGAAACAGAGAGAGTAATTTCTGACCTCATAGATTTATTGGGATGATTAAATGAGTTGTTTATTTTTCCCCAAAGGGTTCCCTTCAGTACCTGGTACATATCAAACACTCAACAAATTGTCTTCAAAACCAACACAATCAATCAAAAAATGACTCCACTTCACTCAAGCATCCTAATTGTTATAGAAGAAAACCGAAAGCTCACATCTCCCCATTGGTAGAAGAGCTTGGCCGCATTCCACTGCAGCTTCTGGTTTCGCTTGTTGCCCACAATGGGAGAGCGTCCCCGGGAAAGGCCTTTCTTGGTGATGTTCACATGGTGCCCTTTCATCCACTCTGGCCAGTTGCCACGATTGCAGCGGTGAACAAAACGAGCACATTCCAGGAACAAGGCTGCTCTGGCCACCACAGGTGCTTCCTGAGTAGGGTTGTTCAGGAAAGAATAATGTGGGATTAATGAACAATAACTTTAAATTGGTCTTAAAGGGAATGACTGTGTACTTTTAGTTTATTTTCCTCTTCATGTTTTGATTTAGTTTGACCATATTTCCTAGGGTTGTGTCTGTACAGCCAAGACAGTAGTGAGAAATCTGGAAAGTAAAATCCCCAAAGAAAATGTGGATCTTGAAGAATTAGACATTTTAAGTAGGTTTCTGTGTTGCTTTCTCCTTCTTCTCAAGAATCTCAAGTAATTACATGTCTCCAACTTTGTATATTTAAGGGTGGCAGCGATTTGAGTGTAGAGTGAAAGAGCTTTTAGTGAGGTCTTAAATATGAATCTTTTTTTGAACCCTAAAATTTTACATGAAGCAAACAAATATTCCATTTCTAGAATTAGTCTTATTTTAACCAAGAGCGTCAGAAGTAATTTTGTACCAGCAATAGTCTTTTGTCTATAACCATCCATATGTTCCAAAGAGGTAAAATTGCTTCTGCACATTTTGGCTATTAAAAAAAGGGAGTTCAAGACCAGCCTGGCCAACATGATGAAACCTCATCTCTACTAAAAATACAAAAAATTAGCCAGGCATGGTGGAGTGCACCTGTAGTCCCAGCTCCTCAGGAGGCTGAGGCTTGAACCCGGGAGGTAGAAGTTGCGGTTAGCCAAGATCATGCCACTGCACTCCAGCCTGGTAGACAGAGTGAGGCTCCATCTCAAAAAACAAAAAAGAAAAGGAAGCTCAATCTTGTTGAGTTAGTCTTTTTTTTTTCTTTTGTCATAAATAACTGACTGGATTATACTTAAATAGGCATGGTTTTCATTGAAAATATTTGATAAAGAGAAGATTAATTGATAAATGATACAGCATTTTTTCAGAAAAATATCACTCCACCTTGTCATGTCATGATGTGCTTGAAAAAAAAAAAGGAAAAAAGAAGAAACATCTTTTAGTTGATATCCAGAATCTGGTAAGAATCAAATACTCTACTGAAATCTTTGAAAGTTTTTTTTTTTAAAGTTAAGGAAAGAAGTAATGAGAAGTTTTCCATAAAAGGTCAATAGATCATAAGAAAATATGTATCAACTATTCATGTGTATTTTGACTTGTGTCAGTTTTTCAAAAAATACATCACAATATTATTTATCATTTTAGGGTTACTCAGTAACCACAGATTTTCAAACTGAAATAATTTTTAATAACCATTGTAAGCAATGTATCAATCCATAAAGTTAAAATAGAGGCTAATATAGAGTGTCAATTACATGTCAGTTAACTTTTAGAATTATAATATATAACATCCCTGTGATCTATAAATAATGTCCCTCATTTAAGATTTTTTAAAATGAGGTATAATTTTTCACTATCATATAGCATTAAAGGGGTGAATATAGGAACATAGGATTCAACCCAGGTCTCACTGATGCCAGTCCTATGCTAGTTTCTCTTTGGCATTTACATTGTCTTAATTTATACTCCCATAAATCTTAGTAAAAGATAATTTCTAGAATGCAAGTAGAAATTAACTATTAATATTTAAAGTGGGACATTAGTTCCATGTACTATTGTTTTCTAAAACATAAATATATAAACATATCATTTCCCCATTTGAGATCTATTACAGGCTCCATACTCAACCATAAAACAAAGATATCCAAGCTTTGTGATTTGGGTCATCTCCTTTTCTATGCCCATCCCAAGTGCTTTATGATCCAATTATTCAACTTAGTTGCTGTCTCCCAAATGTGACATCTTCTACCATTCCACATGTTGTCTCATGGCTTGCAGAGCCTTGAAACTCCTTTTCTACCCAGAAAATTCCCATTTTTAAGACTCAGGATTCAGTTAGTTACCTCCTCTGAGAAGCCTTCTTAAATCCCTTCCCTGGTCAGGCAGAGCTGGTTACTTTACATTTTTGGGTACCAAAGTATCCCAAACACACTGGATGATTCAAGTAAGTTAGTTCCTTAAGCCTTTCTTCATTGTATATGTCTTAAATGCAGTCATCAAAAATTACAATGAAAATATATTTATGTCGGTACTTAATTTTACAAAGAATATTATGTATTACCACAACATGAAAACTTAACCTACGTGAAAGACAGAATGCAAGATGAACACTAATGGTGAGAATTTATCCTTAACAAAAGCTGGATACTAATGATGAGAGTCTATCTCATCAACTGCATGGGGTCAAGACTAGGAAGCAGGTCACAGGGATAGAAAAACTTGAGACTGCAAGGAGTCAGATGACCTTCTGCATTAAACCCAATAGTATTGCAGTGCCATACCATATAAACTAAATATCTATATTCTTTCTTGTATTAAGTATTCATTTCACTAAACAGTTCAGATATGCAAATCTGTGTCTGGAAAAGGTTGGAACATTTGTCTCTAAAACAGAATGTCAGTTTAGAGGTCAGGCAAGTGATGCAAATTTATTCTTAGCCTGTCACAATATGACACATTCCCAATATAAAGCAATGTGGATTCAAAGCTTAATGACAGGAAGACATAAGTAACACTGCTGAAATAGCATCATATTGTGAACCCTGGCTCCTTCAGGATTAACAAGGGTGAAACTTAACGTGGACCACATGTATGGGGTGGAGGATCATTTTATTGCCTCTAAGTGTTAGATGGCAACTGACAGGATTAACAATAGATGAATGAACAATCTAAATAGTGATATGTGAGGCTTCCTATATAGATTAGTTTGCCTACTTTAGATAAAATAATTCTTAAAAAATATTACTTAAAAATTATTTTAGCTGCTTAAGAAGCCCAAGGCATTTTTGAATCTAAACCAACTTCAATTCTCCTGCTCTCAAAAACTTCTCATGATAAAACTGAGATATTATGAGTTACAGGCTGTGGAAAATTCGAATCCAAGTTTGGAAATGAAATTGAGATCAATATAAAAATAATTCTCATTAACTATATGGTAAAATATTAAGGGGGAGGTTGGTTATTGTCTGATGAATTTTATGCATGTAAATAGCCAAATCCATTAATGTTTGGAAATGTCACTGTTTGCATCAAGGAAGATGACATAGAGTCATTCAAATATTGCCTTTTTATTATAATAATTATTAGCCTAGTGGATGATGTCAGTCTTAGAAATTCTATATTCAAGATGGCAGTAAATAACACTAATTTATGGGGTATTTTAGTATATATATTACTATACTGAAAATTGAGGGTGATGCTAAGGTTCAAAGCCAAGGGCACTGATGTCCAAGATCATTAGTCAGCAGCAGCTAATTAAGTTTGCTGAGTTTGCAATGTGTGTGCAGCAGCATTCAAGGAATTCTGGTGTGAGTGTGGCTATGTGGAATCGTTTTCATTCAGTTCCTTTTAAAATGTAGTTTAGAAAGTATTGATTTCAGGGGCAGGGTTATGGAATACCTTGGACAAAGGATTCCTCCTGAGCATAAAGGAAAGTCAATTTTCCCTCTTTTGATGGAGCTTACCTCTTATGGCTCAGTGCAATCTGAAGAAGCAGCAAAAGATGGAGGCATGACATAATGGATAGGGATGGATTCACATCACAGAGAAAAACAGCACAAATGGAGAAAAATGAATCGGAAGAATGCTGCATAGCTGAAAAGAACCACAGAGTATCAGAGGCACAGTTACAGGTGAACATCTAAACAAAATTTGACACCATTGGAATACCATAGAGAATTTGCTGGTGGTCCTAAAAGAAAAGTAAGCATATTTAAATTTCTTCTTTCTTATTAACATGTCTGCCCAGATCCCTTTTTATGCTCCATAATGTCACAGAGAGGCTTCTATTCCATTATATTATAACTTTGTAGTTTCCAGACAAGCAAGAATCAATTTTAACTGAGAAGGCAAAATATTAGATTGAACCTATGAAATTTCTAAATTTGAAGGTCAGAAATAGTCATATCAGCAATTTCATATAGTTCAATCTTGTATGAGGTGTTCTCTGCATGGGTTACAGGCTTGTCCAGTTGAAATTACAAAAAGTTAATGAATGTCAATGCACAGCATGGGGGGTCTCTAACAGTCTACAGCTAGAAAACATCAGGAGTCTGGCTACTTTCCTTGACTTCCTTGCCATTTTTTTCCTTGAATTTTATAAGATCATTATGTATATTGAATACTTCCTTTATGAAAGTGAGGCAGAGAATTGAGATAGTAATTTCGACAGCTGTGCTTTATTTTGCCTGGGGACCTAAAAAATATTGTTGCCAAGATATGATGGTTAATTGAAGCTTATAATTGCAATACATTCCTTTCCCTGGAGAACTATATCTAAGCTTATGATGTGCAAAGAAACCTTGACTGATCCTGAAAACTCATATAACACTGGATAGAAACTGTTTTTAAAGACTAAATATTTTACGTGGGCCCCTAGGGAATTACATATTTTTTTTATTGTCTTACAAAATAAAATATAAAGCTGTTGCTGGTGCAGGATACCTGTTTATCTACAACCAATGGGAATAAGCAGTTATTTTGGGTCTTAGTAAGCGCTGGAAAGTTCTTTGCTAGGGGATATATACTTCTGAGTCAGTATTTATTACTTAGTTTGTATTGAATTCTCTGCCTCACTTGGATCAATAAATAACTGACTCGCTAGCTAACAGGCTGCCTCCTTCCCTGCCCATTTCTACAGTAGCTGTGGGTAGGCTGAAGATCAACATTATAGGTTAGCACAAGGTCTGGAAGGCTAGTCATTTTAGCACTTACTCAGATCATGCTAACATTTTGGGTATTTTAAAAACCAAATGAGGACTTCTGTTTCTGACAATATGATGAATTAAGAGTGAAGAATTCATTTGATTTAGAACACCTGAAATGGTGGGTAAAATATCAAAAAATGTCTATTTTTATTTTGCTTTTATTTCTAAAGTGAGATTGAAGACAACTGGAAAGTAGAAATTACAAGAAAGTGCAATTCTGGAGGTGGGAGCAGGGATAAACTAGATAGAAATATTTGTCCTGA